TGATTCAATTCCTAGATCCAAGTTGTTACAAAACTGGAATCGTTTGAATCCCGAAACGGTTGTTAGTTTAGCTGTCCAACTACTTTAGTGGTAGAGCACAAACCACTAGATTGGGGAAGGCCACATAAAAACCCTTCGCCAAAAACTCCAGGGCTCTTCGAGGAGCTGTGCTATCCCCATACTTATTTTTCACTTATATTTTTGATATTCCCTGTGTTTCTCCCGCACGAATCGTGAAATATGCAGATGACGTTGTGTTGAGCCGGGCCCATTTTTTCCTAATCTGAATTAAGTTATTTCACCGCTAATCTTGATCAAATTCAGTCAGTCTCCTTCTCACCGCGGCTAATCCTGAACCTCAGTAAATGTGTTGAGTGTGTATATAGTTTTGCTCGCTCTCCATATCCAACAGACCCCACAGTGATTATTAACAGTCCTTTATCCAGGGTGAACTCTGTCAAATATCTTGGTGTAACCATAGATAGCAATCTTCATTGATCAACCCACATCCCAAATTGCATTGGTAAACTGCGGCCCCTATCATTTGATATCCGGAAGCTCAGGCGGTTTCGTGCATCCCAGTCAGTTATTTCTACCATAGGTTATCAGTGTATTTTCCCCATCTTACTCTAATGTTCCCCGGATATTTTCCCGGTTTACTCAAAAGGATTTTAAAGTCTTAAGCCGCGGTCTAACCATTATTAGTCGTGTCTCTTCTATTCCTGTGAATGAGTTAGCTTTAAAGCTTTCAGAATACTGTGTAACTTCCTGTGTGAAACTTGCTGAAAGGATTCTCACAGATCCTGACCACCCATTGCCTGGAGAACTGACACTTTGTCTTTCCCACCATTCAACACGCTCCCAAATCCGTCACATTTCATCTCGAAATAACGCATACCGCAAATCATCCATACCTTATCTTGCTTATCTACTCATAAACAAAGTGCTGACGAAAAGTGAACTTTGTCTTATCTTTGGGTTATGAAATATCTTCATGTCTGTGAAAATGTTTCATACTTTGCCATGTACACTGTGACGGTTAGCGTGTATGATTCTTTCAACTGAAATTTGAGCTCCCGTGTTTGCAGAGGTTATACACAATGCAATACAATACAATTACCCAAATTTATTACTGTCCGTTTTTGCACGCAAACCGCTTTTTTGACGTTCTGATAAATGATCGCCAAGTAAAGGCGTGTTTGAATGCGCCCAGAAAGGAAAGACAATTTAGCAGAGTAAATTGCAATGGGTTATTGGTTCTTGTTTGGAGTATTGAAATTCTTTTCGGTTTCAAGAGACAGGGTGCAATTTTGCTTCTAAAATGTTTCCTCTGTTTGTTCAGTGAAATAGATTATTGACATGCTCAGTTTAATTCATCAATAAAAGGTGAAATTTATGTTGTTTAAAAAAATGATTTCTGATATTTAGAACATAACGTTTCTCGGTACAACGAGCATGTACTCTGTCATATATACTATGTTGTAATTTGCATTTTTTTCATTTACAAATTGAGTATCAGAATACAAGCCTCTTTTAATTGTGAACAAGCTTGATTGAACTCCACCGGACAGTGTAAAAACTGAATTCTCCTATCATGCACTTTTCCACTTTTACTCAAGCAATAACCCCAGGAGAAGAATTTAAAAAACAGAAAACACTCCTGACTGATAAATCAACTACGTTTTTCTTCTCGCAGGCAAAACCCACCGTGTGCAGTATCATGCTGCATACATAGAGAAACCAATTTGCCGTATAACTGAGCTCAGATATTGCAGAAATGCACGGTAAAATATCGCATCGAATAGTCTGAAGTTTACGTGATAAAACAAACAAAGCAACAAACAACAGGAATAAGCAAATCGAGGAATTGGTGCAACTGTATCATGTGGTTTAGTGATAGCATCAGTTGAAAGTCCAACAAATTTCAAATGAACGACATATGTAGTTGGGCCGCTCATGTCTGCTACATGCAACAGTTTTACGTATTTACTTTGATAATAATACGGACAAAAGCCATGGATCAATTAATAACTAGTCTAGATCGCCAAAACGGGTTTCGTTGCATCCCAAGTGACGAAATACGCTAGAACAGTATAGTTCATATCGTTCAACGGGACATCAATTTAGGCAAAATGTTTCCTCGCGAAGTAAAAATTTCAATGACACATCATTGAAAACCATTCTTATGTTGAAATTATGAAACGTTCGGTAGCCTAAGTGGAGTTTTAACCGACGCAGGGTCGCTGCTTACGCCTCTGTACGGTGTAGGCTCGACCAGCTGAGCCACAAGGCCATACCGATAGCGCTGATCTTTTAACATTCGAATCACCCATCTCACGTATAGAGGCACGACACGAAGCGGATAGCATGTAACCTGGTTGCTACAGCAATTTTTCCTTACAGTTCACTGGAATGAACCTCCAATGAAAAGTTAAATGTATGAACAGTACACTCAGGTTCTCACAATTTCAACATAGGACAACAACAATTTGAACAAAAAGCATTCTGTTGAAACCATATGATCGAAATCTTCTAAATCACTTTTGACGATCAACCGTTGCGAAAGCATCATACCGGAATCTGATAAACGTTTGCTTTATAGAATAACCTACCCGACTATCACAGGTCAAATGTGTGTCCTCATGACTGACTTTTGCTGCAAAAGAGAACAGAAAACTTCAAAATTTTAAACGCATGGTCTTTATCTCTTAAAGACTATACACCATCCAAGTTTTTAGTTCGGTATTTCTGTTACAAACTTCATTTTCCTATATTGAGGTAATTGACCATGAAAGTGATAGTTGGTTCGACAAGGTCAGAGACAGATTCGTTGTAAATTAATACTTAAATATTGAAATATATGTAACACAAGGAACAAAACACTCAAAAGAATGAGAACGGTTACCTAAAATAATTTAAACGCTGATAATTCAATTAAAGTCTGCGGATTTAGCTGTTGAGAAGTACACACTGAAACAATCAATAGACTCATGTATCAAAAATCTCAGAAAACCTAAAACTGATTATTTACCAATATAAGTGCACTTGGCAATGTACTGAGAATGCAGTTTTCCCATATGTTTATAAAAAACGCGTTTTACAACAAAGACCCCGTTAAATGATGGCGGTGCAAAAAACAAATCCTATGCTGAAATTGATTTTCAATTAGGTTTCGAATTGTCAATAGACAAATCAGGCTATTTAGTGGAAAACGGAGTTCATCACGCTTCTTTTTCAACAATCATGCGAAATTGTGTTAAACGCTCCAAGTCAATGTGCGTTTGTTGCTCATATGAATCTCATCCACAGCGTTTTGTATCGAACAGTGGACACTTAAGCAGTAATGCATTCATCGAAATGAATGACTCAAACACCTTTTAATCTGTACCTAATCAATCTATCATAGTGGGTGGCTGAATATTTTACTCAACGATTTTAGTTTTAAACTTTTATCAGCCAAAAGTAATTTGTTTAAAAACTTCGGAACTTTGGTCCTTCCCATGTTTCCAGTAGTTTTTATTTGTAAATGGCTTATTTGTGACAATTGTTTCACATCAAACAGATGAAATAATTGTCTGAAATCTACAGTATAGTGTGTAGTTAAATGTATTTTTCTCCTTTCTATTCACAGTCATTATCCCAGCCCTGATGCAAACCGCTGCGGCCTACGTTTGGGCTGCACAAGTTCGCAAGGAAGCGGTCTCAAGATCAGAAGTTCGAGCAACCCAAACCGGCGGATCACATAAATCATCGCGTTCAAACAAGCAAAAATACGTCAACGATGGTCAGCGATTGTCCAAGCAGGATCGGACATTGTTTCTCTATCGTCTTCTTGCTTGTTGTGCTTCTTTGCTGGTGCTGATATTTTCCACTCTGCCCCAACTAATCATTGCCGTGGCCAGACCGATTAGTTCGAATTCGATCGATACTCTGTGGGGCTGGTGTCACGTTGTGACCTATACGGATGCATCCACGCGTTGTTTTGTCACCTATCTGATAGTAGTTCCATTTGGTCTGTTATTTTGGAATTTCATATTTGGGGAAATACTACCGCGACCACATCTTCTGACAGACAATGTTTTCGCAGTCATCCTGCGAGCTTCGATTCCCATTGCTTTGTTTTCTTTCATTACTCCTATTCCAATGGTAGCCAAGCGATTTGTTCCACAGTACGAGGAAGGTTTGACCAAATGCGGTGGATCGCCCGATGGTGTACTATTTACGCTTTATTATGATTTTATTGTCACTCGAGTGATCCCGGTCATCTGTATCATAATTATTGCTCTTGGATTTCTGCGCTGGCTACCACGCAATGACTATGGTGTCTTTTACGAACCGGGTATTTTCACAGTGTTCTCTCTACCGATTATTCTGTGCGAATCGGTCATCCACGTGTATCACCGAATCGGGATTGTAGACAAGCTGGTTGAACCGAATTTCAGTAATTTTATGCTTATCACATATGCCGTGTATCACATGTCGTTTAGTTCCACATTTGTCTTGGCCACGCTTCGCTCCGTGGTATCGGAAATCCGGGAAGAGATGCGTAAACGTCAGCTATTTTTCCTCGGGGAGACAGGAGAAGAGGCCGAACAAGAGGCGGAGCGAATTCACGGAACCAAACGCCAAACAGACATGATTCATGGTCTGCAGAAGCAATTTTCGGTGGCGTTCCGATGGAAACCGGATTTCACAGAGGAGGAATCACGTACGTTTTCCATAAGCCCAATTGAACGACTCTCCATGGGTGCTTCAAATGTGGATAACACGGAGGCAAGCTATCGACACGATTCTGCTGAAAGGACTGATATTGATGAACCGAATGGAAAACAGGTTCCCGTGGATGATGCAGTTCTTCATTATGCCATATTGCAGCGTTCCGCGCATTTGAAGCAGCAGTCACGAAAACAGTGACTCATCTACTTTCCCGCCGGATAAGAACATCCGTCTATGTAAAGCATTCCAAGTGCTAACTATATTGAGGCTGATAATCAAGCAGTAAGCCGCTTAGAACATCTTTCAGTGTACATGTCTAAATTAGCCAACACTTTGATCACTTGCAGCGCAGATTTTCAGAACACAAAGACCGTTGCGCAGTAACTAGAAGTGTTTCTGTTTTGTTTGTTGCTTAATGCATACTGAAAACCTGTGCATAAAGGGGGTTAATATTGTTGTTGTTGTTGTTCATCTTGCTCTCAATCACTGTCTTTCATCTACTGAATGCATGTTTTCTACAACACGCGGGCTGTCTGATGCTTACTTCTAGATCTCTCATTTAGATGTTTGAAATCAGCTGCGCTGTAAATCATTTATTTCATTGTAATTCTTGTGACGGTAATTTGTTTGTCGAACTTGCCCTACTTAGTTCTCACTATTGTGTGTATTATATTGGTTGCTTATGTTTTTTTTAATTCGCCAACTACCGTGAGTGTTTCATTTCCTTCATCCGTAATTCACACATACAGAAGCACACTGCCGCATACATATACACATGAATACATACGTGCATTCTTCTATGCGCATTTACATGCATACACATTTCGCTGGATGCAAGTTTACAGATTCCTCTGAAGGAACAATTATATATCACTACAATGTTGATGTCAGCATTAACGACGACATGAGTATACTCATGTAAGCAAACTATGGAACCTGAAGATGAAATATTTATGTATTCCGTGTTTTGTTTTGTTTTGTATGTATGTAGTGTGCTCCTGTAGAAGCAGTTTAGTAACCAAATCAGAATATCAGAATCCGCTAACCAAACATGTTTGTGTCCCTGTTATGTGAGTGGTGTCCATTCCGATTTAGAGTTTCTCGGTGATAATTCGAACAAAACACCATTGTAAAACTGAGGAATTTACCAAAGGTCTTCCTCACCTATATCAAAGATCTGTGTTTACCTTACCGTAAATAACCAACAAGAAATGTGTGTGATCCTGTGCGGTAAAATCAAGACAATCATAGGTCACCATTCAATGGATTCAAAACCGGGTTAACACTGACATTTGACGGAAGCTGTAAGTACATCCGCAATAGGCATATAAATATACGCGTACAAACTACCCGCACACAAGTACGTATTACTAGGTACTATTTGAGTGTGTAGCACGAAGTGTTCTTTCCCGTCATACGGCCGTTATGCTATATGATTCACCCAATCCAAACCAACACGACACCGGTCGGGGCTAGGACTGAATGACACTTATGCCCCACCTACTTCGATAGTTCTCAATACACACACAGACGCACATAAAAACACGGTCCAAATCTAAGTTTTATTTTATTATCCTCTCGATTATAATATAAAACTTTCAGAATAAGGGCGTACACTTGAACTTTCAGCGTATAGTTAAATGTGCTGAGTAATGTAAAAGCCATTTCAATGGGAACATATGCATGACACCTTTCTGCCAACAGCTTATCCCCATAGAGATTGGATTACCAAGAATTTTTAAATCAAACAAGGCACCATAATGATCAGTTTGATACAGAAGAGCCTACCCAGGTCAAAGATTTGGTACTGCCAATTTCAGAAGGAATTTTATTCTACAAGCACCAAACTGCGATTTTGCTTGGCGTCCCTAAATGCACTGGTTCTGGTTTCGTCCAAATAGGTAGCTCATGCAGTTTTATTCTTTCATTGATTTTGTTTGTCCCAATGTCGAAGAACTCCCTGTGTTTTCTCATTACATTACACTATTTTCTTTTGTTACGTTGTACAAATAGTCTTGGAGAACATCAGATGACATTGGGTCGCCCAATTGCTGTTTGGGTCCGTAAAAAACTTTATGGAAATCCGGAGATAGCTAAGATTATTAGTGAAGTGACACCAGCAACACGAACCAAGATCAAACGGTCATGAAGGAAGCATCGTTTATACTTATATGTGCTGAAACAAGGTGATGTTCCAATATTTCCGAGAATTCGTCATTCCAAGTATCGTCGGAGATATCTGGGGAGAAACAATACGACTGCCATAATACCCAGCGTCGGAGCATCGAATGTGTCATTTGTATACTGACACGTTACTGGGAGATCTGTAACAGTAGCTTATGCAACACGCGATTTTGGCTTTCGTTAATGATTACGTGACTCGTTTGGACGCAACAAATCAGTCGAAGCTTTGGTATCACCCTACTCAGCCGTACAGGGAAGGATCGCTTAAAGCCTTTCACAGCGTAGTGTCAAATAGTTTCCGGTAATATGCTGCAAATTGGTTAGGTCTCATCAACGGGGTGAATTCGTTAACTCTTCAGGTGATAGAATCCATGCAAACTGCAATCAGAATGGAATGTTTCCAACCGAACCACAACTCATGAGGTTGTTAGTAATTTACGTGAGTTGGAATGCACGCATTATTGGTTGCTAAACTGGGTCGTGCTGTATCGTGCATAGATACAATTTGGAATACATCTGGTCAACTATCCTGTGTCCTGGTGGGTAGTATGCTTGAGTTCTATCTGTGAAGTCCCGGGTTACAGAGCCTCCTAGAGTTTAAGTTCACACTTATTTTGCTTTGTACATAACAAATTTCAACATATGATCAAAATGGATTTTTCCAGAAGGTTACCCGATGACAGCATTCCTCTCGGTACAAGTTTATATTCTTTTCATAGGAACCCTTTAGACAGACAAGAACACTGCATTCAAGTGGGAGTCGATAATTCCAATCTACCGAAGAAACCAGATTTCGACTGCGGAAACCCGGTTACTTCACTGGTAATGTGAATATGTGCATCTGTTGATGTATATACACATTTTCCAGGTGCTCAAGCACACGATGCAAATCTTGATGCTTCCAAAAACACTGAATGGATTCACTGAGTCCCTGCGAGATACTTTTGATTATCACATTAGGCGTGTCGGAATAAATAAGGAATCCTTTAGGAATCAGGTTAGGAGTAAAAAATTTATGTGCAGCGCTTTACAATTTTGCAGTCAAAACCCGAAAGATGAATCGTAACCTATGAAAGCTTACTCATCCGGTATGGTTGACCTGGATTCCGTTGATGTCCCAAGTTCGTACAGTGATTTTGCAGTAATTATTGTCACACGTTTGTTGGTACCCGATAAACACAGATCCCATTGAGAACACCAGCGTGGCGAACAAGCTCGTTTCCAGTTATTCCTAATCTTGTCATTACATAATGTTCAATATGACGAACAATTAGAACAAACAAGGAATGATAGATTCGAGTCCGAGTGGTTCAGCTTCGGCTTCAATCATGTGTGCATGTGCGCTTGTGTGAAATTGATGACATCGTCAAAAGGTAAAGTGGTTGCACACGTGTTGGAGTATGCACGCATAACGTTCAGTTGCAATTCAACGGTGAATTATATCACCAGAAGGATCGGGTTGCAATGGGGTCAACTTTACTACCACTGTTCATTAACATTCTTATGGCAATACCTGAGAACGATCTCATGGATCCTCTTATTAGACAATGTACCCTGTACCGATGATGAGTTGATGATATATTATGTATAGCAGATTCAAATGCGGACACTAATCGGTTGCTTGAAGAAATCAACAATGTCTATCCGAAAGTGAACTTTATTCTGGAAAAGCGAACGGACATTAGACTAACGTTCTTAGACGTACTCATGAGACGCAGCCGAGATAGCTCCGTCCAATTATCGGCACATAGAAAAGAAACATGAAATGGACAGTATATCTATTTCCATAGTTTTGTTCCTTTTTAGAAGAAGATAAATCTAATTCGTTCTTTGATTCAAAGAGCGAAGAAAATATGCACGACGGACACNCCATCGACAGTGACTTTCAGTTCTTACATACTGCTTTGTTACCCCGAACGACTTTCCGATAGGGCATTGCTAGAAGACGAGGAAGGGCCACAGGAAATAGGAGTAGCGAAGAAGTTTGTCTATCTGCATGTGCCGTTCAAGGGAGATACGAAGGCGGACGTCTATCAACGAAGATCACCAGTGCGGTAAGCAGAAGATTTTACGTTGCACAGTCAAAAGCTGTGTTCACATTCAAACCGATCATGTGTTTCCGACTGAAGGTCAGAGTTTCAGATTACGCAGCCCCATTCTGTGTATAGTCATTAACGTGCTCCTGTGGAACTGGGGACATTGACTGCACGAACAGGCGCCTATTCGATCGCGTTCGGGCACACCACCCCGCTTGGCTGAGGACTGGCACAATTAAGACAATTACAAGCACGGTGTGTTCGCACCTTGTTGAGTCAAATCACTCGGTGGATGTGGCAGGCGATGTGTTTACATGGTTCGATGTAGGTAATCAAGAGCAATGAAGCGTCGTATTTTAGCCACGGCTCAAGCCGTAAGAATTCGTATTCTGTTGTGCACCCACGAGAAATTTGTGTAAGCAATTAATCTCCCCTGGGCCGTTTCATCCACTCCAACACGCGGGCAATCCATTTAACTTTTGACGAGGTGATCAATTTCACACAAGCGCACATGCACACATGATTGAAGCCGGAGCTGAACCATTCGGACTCGAATCTATCATTCCTTGTTTGTTCTAATTGTTCGTCATATTGAACGTTATGTAATGACAGGATTAAGAATAACTGGAAACGAGCTTGTTCGCCACGCTGGTGTTTTAATGTGTTTGTGGGACTGATGAAACGTTTGAAGCACGTTTCCAATTATAGAAAACCGAATTTCTTTACCGATTTACAGAAGCACAGCAATAATTTTCTGTCTGCTGCGTTTCTTGATTAATTCGTCCCTGGTAATCGTCGGGTACAATCCATTCGCTCCCTCTCCTTCTCTCCGAAGTTTCAATCAAAACAATGATTAGGACAAAATAACCGATCTCTAAGTGTGCTTTAATCATAGCAAACTAATGTTTCAAATACCCTTTTAGTATTGTGCTGTTCCTTTGTGCAATCATGGAAATAAAAATAGTAATCAATGCACAC